TAATTAAAATTTCTCCTTTGACAGGTTCTTATTGGCTCTAAAAAAATTATTCAATGGATCAAGAGCCACATATAATCAAAATTTGAACTATAACCGGCTCTTGATTCTTTGGAAAACTTTCCTGGAGCCAATAGAGAGCTGGTAACCAGTGCCGGCCCAAGGTTACTTTTAGGATGGAGCGAGATCTGACTTTGGCGCCCCTAATTAAGTAAATGCGAATCGTATACTCTGTCCACCGATCAGATGTTCTAAGCTAAGTACCAAGAAAAAGTACTTAAGTATCAATTACAAGTTTTTTTTAAATATGAATATAAGTAATTACGAAAGGAAATACTTAAAATGTCAAGTAAATTGACTTAAATTGCCCAAATTCAAGTACGAGTACCAAATTCCACGAAAGTCAGAGTCAATTCACTTAAACTTGCGTACTTGAAATGACATTCATGTAGAAATACTTCAAAAAATCATTTAAGTATTTCTTCTATCAAGTATTGTTCGAATTAAAAACAAATTAAATTATAGCTATCGATAATCTTAAACGGGGTGTGACCCAAAAATAAGTTTTAGAAAAAAAAATCTAAGAACAAATTTTCAAACCGCACTAGGTTACGACCAACCGTTGCGAAGATACTGTGATATAAAATTCCTACTCTTAGCACTGTGACGTCATATGCACAAACTGAGTCCGACACCCGGCGCTGGCGCGCGTTTGCTGATTCTTGCTGCATATGTTAGCTCAGTTCCAACCGACAAGAGAACCGTTCCAGAACCCGTAATTTCGAGTTGTCCACCTAATTTTCAATAAGTTGAACATTTATTCTACTTGACAAATGAATTGATCAACTGGAAACTACCATTCTAGAACGTTTCTCATGTCGGTTGGAAAAAAGCTATTATCGACATTATCGTATCGTTTTTGCGTTCTCACACCTATTGCTGCGTCAGTTTAAATAGGTTTTGCAATGTTTGCGTGTATTTATGACGTCACGCGATGAATAGACAAAATTTTATTTGGTCGTATCTACCTTATTATTCTGAGTAGCGATGCAAGATTTTCATAAGAGTTCTTAGAATTTTCCTTTATTTTCCGAATACAAGTTGTATTTTAAGGTTACACCCCCTTTAATAGGAGATATTCAGTATAGGCACCACAGGCACAGGAATTGGTATTGAGAGACGCCAGGTGGGCTCTTCCTACCTACTGGCTGGGTTTCGGCTGATGTCTTATCACAGACTTACCACCCTTTTGCTCGCAAGCAGAATTGCAGAATATCGAAAAACGAAGACATGATTCAGAGCAGTGTGTCTATCTGATTGTAAAAATCATAGCTCCGCTATCCTGGACTATTTCTCCATAAAATTTCAATATGTTGAAGCTAAAAGCTTCCTTAATAAATAAAAAAAATTGGTTGATCTTGGTTTCCAGAATTTTTAGAAAAAAAAAATCAGGAATGAGGGTATCAGGCTATGGCAAAGATATCACTAAGTGTGTCTGTCTGATTGTAAAAATCATAGCTCCGTTATTCTGGGCTATTTCTATATAAAATTTTAGTATGTTGAAGCTAAAAGCTTCCTTAATAAATAAAAAAATATTTGGTTAATCGAAGTTTTCAGAATTTTTAGAAAAAAAATCAGGAATGAGGCCATCAGACCATGGCAAAGATATCACTAAGTGTGTCTATTTAATTGTAAAAATCATAGCTCCGTTATCCTGGATTATTTTTCAATGAAATTTCAATATGTTGAAACTAAAAGCTTCCTCAATATGTTAAAAAATATTTGGCTCCTCCAGGTTTCTCAGATTTCCAGGAAAAAAAACAGAAATCAGGCCATAGCTAGGCTGTAATGCAAAAATATCACTCAGTGGGGCTTTTGAATTAAAAAAATCGCAACTCAGCCATCTTTGGTTTTTTTCGACTCAAATTTTGTTATGTTTAACCTAAAAGGCTTTTGGATATATGAAAAAATTCCACATTTCTCAAAGTATCCCAGATTTCCAGGGAAAAAATCAAAAATTAGGCCATAGGCTGTAATGCAAAAATATCGTTCAATGGGGCTTTCGGATTAAATAGATTTCAGAAACATATTTTTCGCTTTTTTTTTTTTTTCACCAAGGAACAAGTCGGAGGCGCCCCTCGAGGTCTGACGCCTGGAGCGCTCGCTCCATTCGCCTTATGGTAGGGCCGGCCCTGCTGGTAACAGTCAAAATTTGAACTTTTATCAACTGTGAATTCCCTGGAAAATTTTCCCAAGGGAGGCAAGGCTCAAGAGCCGATAATATTCAAAATTTCTTTTCCAATAACTTCTAATTCGTTCTAGAAAAATAATCCAATGGATCAAGAGCCACATATAATCAAAATTTGAATTATAAACGGCACTTAATTCTCTGGAAAACTTTCCTGGAGCCAATAGAGAGCCGGTAATAGTCAACATTTGAACTTTTATCAACTCTGGATTCGCTGGGTAATTTTTCTAAGGGAGTCAAGACTTAAGTGCCGATAATAATCAAAATTTCTCCTTTGACAGCTTCTTATTGGCTCTAAAAAAATTATTCAATGGATCAAGAGCCACATATAATCAAAATTTGAACTATTACCGGCTCTTGATTCTCTGGAAAACTTTCCTGGAGCCAATAGAGTGCCAGTTACAGTCAAAATTTGAACTTGACTCCCTTGGGAAAATTTTCCAGGGAATTCACAGTTGATAAAAGGTCAAATTTTGACCGTAACCGGCACTCTATTGGCTCCAGGAAAGTTTTCCAGAGAATCAAGAGTCAGTAATAGTTCAAATTTTGATTATATGTTGCTCTTGATCCATTGAATAATTTTTTTAGAGCCAATAAGAAGCTGTCAAAGGAGAAATTTTGATTACATTTTAAGTATTTCCTTTCGTAATTACTTATACTTGTACTGGTACTTGATTCATATTAAAAAAAAAACTTGTAATTGATACTTAAGTACTTTGTCTTGGTACTTAGCTTAGAACATCTGATCGGTGGACAGAGTATACGATTCGCATTTACTTAATTAGGGGCGCCAAAGTCAGATCTCGCTCCATCCTAAAAGTAACCTTGGGCCGGCACTGGTTACCAGCTCTCTATTTGCTCCAGAAAAGTTTTCCAGAGAATCAAGAGCCGGTTATAGTTCAAATTTTGATTATATGTGGCTCTTGATCCATTGAATAATTTTTTTAGAGCCAATAAGAAGCTGTCAAAGGAGAAATTTTGATTATTATCGGCACTTGAGCCTTGACTCCATTAAAAAAATTACCCAGCGAATCCAGAGTTGATAAAAGTTCAAATGTTGACTATTACCGGCTCTCTATTGGCTCCAGGAAAGTTTTCCAGAGAATCAAGTGCCGGTTATAGTTCAAATTTTAATTATATGTGGCTCTTGATTCATTGGATTATTTTTCTAGAACCAATTAGAAGTTATCGGAGAAGAAATTTTGAATATTATCGGCTCTTGAGCCTTGACTCCCTTGGGAAAATTCCCCAGGGAATTCACAGTTGATAAAAGTTCAAATTTTGATTATTACCGGCTCTTGATTGGTTCCAGAAAAGTTTTCCAGAGAATCAAGAGCCGATTAGAGTTCAAATTTGTATAATATGTGGCTCTTAATCCAGTGGATTATTTTTCTAGAGCAAATTAGAAGCTGTCGACTAAGAAATTTTGATTATTATTGGCTCTCAAGCTTTGACTCCCTAATTTAAATTCCCTAGGGAATCTACAGTTGATAAAAGTTCAAATTTTGACTATTACCGGCTCTTGATTGGCTCCAAAAAAGTTTTCCAGAGAACAAAGAGCCGGTAACAGTTCAAATCTATGGCTATTAATTTCCAGGCTCCTGAATGTTTTGCTTTTTTCCAAAGTAACAGAAAACTCAAATGGCCGACATAAAAAATAAGTAAAATTCAAAAGCCAGGAATCAACAAATAAAGAAAATTTAAAAACCTGGAATAATTAATTGAGGAAAATTTGAGAACTTCTAAGAAATTTTGGTTTTTTCCTGCCTAGCTTAAAAAAAAAATAGATAAAAAAGATTGGTTTTTTGAAAAAAGGTTGGATTTAGGTCAAAAATAAACGGCGTTGAAGAAGATAGTGTGTATTTGCCGACGTTTCGGCCTAAATTAGGCCATCTTCAAGGCACTAAAAACAGGATATTCATGAGTCTAAATCTAAAATAAGGATAACTGATTAAATTTATATAAAATTCCTTTTCAATTTTCTAATTTATCATTGTTGTATTAACACAGTTTTACTACTTTACAATTACACTGTTCACTATGTACCTAATAATCCATGATTTTAGACTCATGAATATCCTGTTTTTAGTGCCCTGAGGATGGCCTAATTTAGGCCGAAACGTCGGCAAATACACACTATCTTCTTCAACGCCGTTTATTTTTGACTTAAATCCAACCTTTTTTCAAAAAACCAACCTGAATATCTACTGAGGTCACTAACTATAACAAAGATGAAAAAGAGTCTAGAATGGAGGAATAATTGAAATTCAAGAGCCTGGAATAAAGAAATTATGAAAATTCATGAGCTTGGAATAAGAGAATTAAGGAAAATTGAAGAGCCTGGAATAAAACAAAAAGAAATTTCAAGAACCAAAAATCAAAAAAATTCAGGGACAAATGGAAAATGTTCTTTTTGATTAACAACTTCCTGTGGTTGAGGTACAGTTTTGCTTGTAATTTTCTACTGTAGTGCTTATTTTTCCCGACCGTATTTGTGTCCCAACAGTAGTTTGTCCCGATAGAATTATGTCCATCCCCAAAGCACATACGATTTGGGACAAATACACGATTCAGGTTACACGGAGTTTGATTGTGACGGGATTAATACAGTCGGGACAAAATTCTCTCGGGAAAAATATGTCTACTACTTTCCAAATTCATCTAACTTATGTATGTGTTATAAATTCAAGCATTCAAAATCAATCGCCCCCGGTATCCGCAAGCCATTTGTCAAGAAAGGAAGAAAGAACCGCCGCAAGTCCGCACACAGAGCGGCTTGAATATTTGCGATATTCTTCATTCTTTGAGTTATTCTCGCTCGTTATCCATTCATTCTTCGTCCGCGACGTGACCGACACGATTACCTTGTTGTTTGTTTTTTTTTTTTTAAATAATTCAAAAGATTTTGTCATTGAAAAAAACCTTCTTTATATAACAATTAATAATTTATAAAAAAAAAAATACATTTTGTTAACCCAAATGCTTATTCAATAACTGCTACTATAGTCAGTGAACTAGATTTTGAGCGCATACTTTCTTCGGATGAATTTTAATTATTATTAACAAGTGATGATTAGTGATTTGTGATTTACAGTGTGACTTATTTTGGATATAATTGAAGGAAAGGTAAGAATTATTATCAAATTCCATAAAGTCTATGCTCAATTTACAAGTTTTTGCATTTGATGCTACTCTCCAATTCAGAAATCTTATTGTTGAATCACAAAAACAAATACAATGAGTCATTCCTATACAATATATCCTTTAAGATGACTCTTATTACAACAATGTCTATGTATGGGGATATTGACGAGAAGAATTTTTTTTTAGTAGGTACATATTATGTCATCAGAGATGATGTGTTAATTTTGATATTAAAATCCAATAAAAAAAATAGTAATGTGGGTTAAAAGCTATGTAAAAGTATAATTTTAGTCAATAAGGATGAGTTAATTAGCATAAATTCAATCAAACCATTGAGTAGTTTTGCCAAAATTTTATGCTAAATCGGACCATGAAACAAATTTCTCATTTTCTAACATATCCTCATAAAACAGGACACATAATAACGCTCCGATAGCCCGAAGAAAGAGAGGATGTTTTGAAAACTGTTGCATTAGTCGTAAATAAACAAATTTGAGGTCAATTTAGACACTGGGTAATTACCAACCAATTTAGATTGGATCTTTTACAGTAATTGCTTTTTGTTGTAATTTATCAGACAAAGTAAAAGTCTATAAAAATCATCCCAAATCTTTAAACTTGACATAGTTAGTTGATGAGAAATTACTTTTTTAGATAATTTGTGATGAGTGCCACCTTGAATCAAACCAAGGCAATCAAACGCCTGGAGGCTCTATTTCAAGATGTAAAAATCGACAATAATCAACACCAAGAAGTCCATGTGGAGGTGGAGACAAAACACAGCGCCAAATGTGATGTCCATAAGAAAAACAACAACAATAATAGGAGGGGATCATTGGGAAGTACTTTGCATTTAACAAACAGGTAATAATTTATTAATATATTTTTATAAATTATTATTGATTTTATTGTTGTAGAAGAGATTCTTTGGGAAATGTTGTCAGTCAAAAACGCGACTGGCACAATTCGGGTTATTTTGGAAATGTGGGTCCTCGTAGGGAATCGATGCCGGCTCTTAATAACCAAAGTCATTATACCACTGGTGGATTTTACAGGTAATTTAAATAGAAAATTGTCCATACGACCGGTTTCTTTTAATGTAATTGTATAAAATACTGCTTTCCCCTTAAAAGGAAATAAAACCGGACAATAGGTCAAATGAAACAACCAAAACCGGTGTAAGTTTTCATTGAATTAATTCGGAATTTTTTTGCCAGCCTTCTAGGCAGGTTCAAGAGAAATTATTTTATTAAAAATATCCAGAAAGTCAAGGCAAGTTTGAGAAAAATTTTAGAAACTGTGTGCGTGAAATCAAGGGAAGAATTAGAGAAATGTTTGTGATTTTTGAATTCACGTAACTCCTTTTACTTTGTCTGTAGTTCTCTAAGGAGAGATATAAATTTCCCAGGTAGCTTCTCTACCTAGGAAAACTAAGAAGTTTGGCAGCACTGTCATAAAAAATTACGAGCCCGTAGGGCGAGAGTTTTTTTCTGGTGATAAGCAGGAATGTTTTTATTTATAAATCATAAGGGAGCTGCTACCTTATGATTTTTCAAAGTTTTCAAAAATCCAAATCATAAGGGGGCTTATTATTTATGTTGGAATTATGTGTCGAAATCATGATTCGGTACCCCTCAAACTCCATACACTAAATTATTCTGAGATTTGAAGCAGAAATCTATAAAAAAAGACACTCTGAAAAATTGAAAAATGATAAATTTACCCCAAATTGCTTCACACGATTTAATTTCTGAAACTATTAGGATAAGAATCGGTGAAAATTTCAGCTTTCTATCTATAATAGAAAAAAAATTATGATTTTTCTTACATTGAGATTTTGTGTCTAAATGATAATTCGGGACCCCCCAAACTGCATACAGTAAATTATTTTGAGATTTGAAGCTGAAATATATGAGAAAAGGCACTCAGAGAAATTGAAAAATGATAAATTTACCCCCAAATTGATTAACGCGATTTTATTTCTGAAACTTTAAGTCCAAATGAGCTGAAATTTTCAGGTATTGTAGTCCCCTATCAGGATAGGAATCGCTGAAAATTTCAGCTCTGTATCTATAATAGAAAAAAAGTTATGTTTTCTTGAAGTTTGCAAAAACCCAAATCATAAGGTTTAGAACTAAAATAATGAAATTTCAAATTTTTTTATATTGAGATTTTGTGTCTAAATGATCATTTAGTACCCCCCAAACTCCATATACTAAATTATCCTGAGATTTGAATCCGAAACTTATGAGAAAAGGCACTCAGAAAAATCGAAAAATGCTAATTTTACCCCAAATTGCTTAACGCGATTTTATTTCTGAAACTATAAATTCAAATGAACTGAAATTTTCAGGGATTGTAGTCCTCTACTAGAATAACCCAAGTAGCACAAATGTGCTTAAGGTAAAATGCTAGTTATTGACATCCAGCTAGTTATTGACACTTCCTACAAAATCTTGGTTTTTAAGGAAATGTGCCTTGTTTTGTGTTAAATTCCTTCATAAACTTCTTCCTTTATCAGTTTGGCAACACCGCATCGGCCGCCATAATTATCGAACCCGGCGTTAACAACACACGTGTTAAAGTTTTCAAAGTGTGCACAGTGATATATGTGGCTTAATCAGATTCTTAAGGTGAGTAAGTTGTTCAACCTTAATTTAAAAAGTTTAATTCTTAAATATCTGGTATTGGTAGTGAAATCAGATCTATAAAATAGACTAAAAATTCAAAATAAGGAGTAAAAACACAGCCTAACAAAAGGAAACTGTGAAAAAATGAGTGTCAATGACTGAAATGCATATATGTATACCAAGACCAGTGATTGACACCCTGTCAAAGACTGACTTATGAGATATTTTTAAGATTTAGTTTGCATTAAGATCCTGAGGTGAAGACGATGTTGCCAATTCAAGTTTTTTGTTTTTATTTCAAGTAAATCCAGTTATTGACTGGGGTGTCAATTATTAGATGTCAATGACAAAAATGATGAGGAAGAAAATTATTCAATACCTGGACCCTCTGGAATCTCTTCCTCTGGGGTTTTTTTAGACAAAAATGATAAGGAAGAAAACTATTCAATGCCTGGACCCTCTGGAATTTCTTCCTCTGGGGTTTCTTTAGAAGAAAATAATTTAAGTGTAACACAAATACATTTAAATAATGGGGAAAAAAGTCCAGTGGCAGGACCCTCTGATATTTCATTTAATGTTTCCCTATTTCAAGATCCTGAAACTCCTGAAAAGATAACTGCAGTAAAATCAAGTACAGCTAAACTTCCTTTTGAAGTTCCTTCTCCATTTAAGCAAGCACTTTTTTGGCCTGAAGAACAACCTAATACTAAGAAAAGGAAGAATAAAGAAAAAATTCCATCTGTAGTGACATCGAGTGTATGGCAGGCATACCATCGAAAAAAGGAAAATGAAAAACAAAGAAAAATAGAAGAGAAAAAAGAAAGATTAATTTTGAGAGAACAGAAGGCACTCCAAAAGCAAAAAGATACAGAGACAAAACAAAAATTCAGTGAGAAAAGAAAGAAAACTTCAAAAAGTCTACAAAAAAGAAAACCAGTAGGATCAAAAAGGAGGAAATATATAAGTGACTCAGATTCTCTTTCAGAAGAGTGGGCATCAAGTGGAGAAAGTGATGAGGAAAGTTTTGAACTGAACAGTGATAAAGAAATAAACATAACTAAATTAAAGAGTTCTGAAAAGGAAAACATAGTCCTTGAAAAAGAAAATATCCACGGGGGTGACTATATATTAGTTAAGTTTCCTGGCAAGAAAAACTGGAAGAATTTTGCTTGTGTTGTTCAAGAAATATTAATTAATTCTGAAGCTGAAGTAGTAGGAATGATTTGTTGTAATGATAAAAAAACTACATTTAAGTTAAATGCAACTGATGTATCTGTAATAAGTTTTACTCAGATTATTAAGAAATTGCCTTTCCCAAATATGATAGTATCAGGTGATAGGGTAAAATATGTTTTTCCAGAACCTGTAGATGTATCTGATACTATTTTTTAGACATACCTACATGTTAGTTTTTTGTTATATGGCATTAGTTAAATTTAAGAGAAAAGTTCTTAACTGATTTTGGAAAATAAATTAATACTAAGTAGTAGTCAATAACTGGGTGTCAATTACTAAATTTTGGGAAAATATCCATGTCAATCACTGGTATGGAAAACATCAAATAAAAAAAAAATCACAGTAATGGAAATAAGGTCACTATATTGAAAGTTTAATAATAAATTAATAAAAAAATCTCCAAAGATCAATATAAAAATATAAGAAACACCTTAAGTGTTTTGGTAAAAAAAAAAAATGCTGAAGAGTAATTATGTCCCTTATAGTGTCAATAACTAGCGTTTTACCTTATTAGGATCATATACATTGCTATAAAACATCTAACTATATAACTGCGATATTTCTTAGTTGGGTTGTAAACGCTTATATGACGTCTATAAGTATGAAAAAGGCCCAGGTTTATAAAATATTATTATTGTTTTAAAGTTGTTTCAGGATCGCGAATAGCATTTACAAAATATTATGAAGTGCTTTATAAAATCGTTATGAAACAGTTTTATAAGAGGTTTATAAGTTAGGGGATAAATTCACCTATATAGCAATTGTGTCTTTTGTGAACCTTAGTATAAAACAGCTTTATAAATTATTATTTGGAAATTTTGTAATTGTAGTTGAAATTACTAATAAAACATTTATAAAATAATGTTTTATAGCATACTTAAAACAGTTTAATAAAAATATTTTATCGTATTTTTATAATGCCGAATACAAAACTGATTTTTAAATGGTTTTCCAACCTTCTCTGCTTTTATGGATTACGAATATGGCGACATGTTGCTAGGAATGCATGGGTAAATCAGGAAAAATATATAGCCCACCTAAATATCGTTCAACCACTCAAATCTTACTGCGAAGCAAATTTTACTGATCAATTGGGGGTTATTTTTTGGAGATATTTTAACGCGCTTCAATTTTAACAAGGTTTTACAGTTACAAAAAATATTCAAATTTCACGAAAGTCTCCAATAATCATCCGTGAAGTTGAAAATCGACATTATGTCATGTCCTACGTCATTGTGAACTGATTTTATTCTTTTAGTAACTAAAATTTTCTAAATTATATTATTTTATTTAATTTATTTTGGATACGACAAAATGGCCGACATAGGACTAAGTGAAATTAAACGTGAAAACATGGCGTCGACTAATATATCATTTTTATCGCCAAGAAAATGTTTAATAAACAAATTTGATATTTATAAAACATATTTGATTTATAAAGTGTTTTATAATGCAGTTCCATAAAACATTTGTATTTTATTATCTAAAATGACATAGCGTAAAACTATTATAATATTCCAGACATTGCAATGTTGCCATGTCAAGAACAAATGTGTACCTTTATAATATATTATCAATTTTGTATAGATTAAAATCAAAAGTTACTAGTAACTTTCAAAATTTCATCTTTAAAAAATCATACTTAAAACTCGTGGCCGACAGAATTGAATCAAAAAAGTTGGAATTTAAAATTGGAAGAAAATAGTCATAGGTATTTGATTAGAGTTTTTGGCCACACCGTAACGTAACAATTCCAACAAGTTTTTAATTGAATTAAATTAAATAGGTAGGTATATAGATTATACCTTCTCTGTATTTTAATTTTTAGTTCACTGTGGTTCACTAGCAGGGTTACAGTACCTACCTAATATAGACAGTAACTTGTAACGGTTCATGTGTTTGCGTCAGTGCCAGCCCGAGCCTACTTTTAGGATGGAGCGAGTATCCAACTTTGGCGCCCATATATCAGATGTGAATTGTACTCGCATGAATTTTACCCAAACTTTGTCCCTATCTATCTTATCAATTGAAAATTTTAAAACATCCATGTTCATTGGTATATCGTTGGTATCTACTCTTTTCCTTTTGAGACTGGATTCAAAATAGAATGACAAGCAAATAATGGAAGTTGTGTGAAAAATGTATTTAATTTATTACACCTAATATTTACTTTCTAAAGAGATCAGTAA